TATATGATATATCATGAATACATACAACAACAATATATGATATTTCGATATAGTGGTATGTAATTATGTCACTTGTGTAATTTAATACTTGCCTAACTTGATTATGAACAAACAGTTCTGTATTTTATATACTATCATGATCTACTACTCCAGCCACATCGTAATAGGCTCATAATTTAATATTGGAATGACATAATTTGAACAGGAAAAGTATAACTAAAGTTATTTAACTTAACACTTTTAAATCTCTTCCCCTGCATATAGCCATAAAAGAGAAGGTGTTGTGTCTTGAATTCTGTGGTATGTTTAACGTTTCAAATGTCCATTACTTGAAAAAAGTTGCATGTCAATATTATCAACAAACGACATATATGAACCACCAAACGTAGTTAAGAGAAATGACTGAAGGAATTACTAAACTAATAAGAAATTAGGTAACAAATAGTTAAACTACAAGATAAGTAAATTTTCAGCAATTACCGAGTAATGATCACTGATAAAAACAATTACTAAAATAAAAAGTGTAAAATGAAAGTAATGCTTGATACATTAACATGATTTTGTATTTTTTTACTTTTTATTTTGAAAAAATTAATTAAAAGAAGAATGATGGAGGATTTAATGTAATGGAGGACTTTTGATTTTTCTCATTTACTTTTGTGAAATTTTAATTTAAATAATTTAAAATGACACATGTCATTTTTGTGTGTGATTATGTGGCACTCATATGGAGAGAGTTTGCCAACTTTTATATATATGAAAAAATTAATTAAAAGTAGAATGATGGAGGATTTATTGTAATGGAGGACTTTTGATTTTTCTCATTTACTTTTGTGAATTTTTAATTTAAATAATGTAAAATGACACATGTCATTTTTGTGTGTGATTATGTGGCACTCATATGAAGAGAGTTAGCCAACTTTAAAATTGCAGAAAAAATATGATTATGGTTTTTGTTGCATTTTATGTTATTTTGTGTGTGTGTGTTATTATGTAATTAATAAAGTCATATCTATTTTCTATAGTTATAATTTTTATGATTAGATTTATCTTTGACTCGAAATATTAGTTCCACGTTTTTTATGTATAAATCTGATTATTTATATACCTACGATCCTAATCTTTCATTATCATGAAAACATACAACAATAATATATGATATATTGATACAATGGTATGTAATTATGTTGCTTATGTGGTTTGAAACTTCTAAACAAACAATTTTTTGTTCCATTTACTTTCTCGTCATCTAGTACGCCGACCACATCATGATATGCTAGTACTTTATGTCAACACTTTAGATCTCTCTCCTTGCATACAACCATATAAGAGAGTGTCTCGTGTTTTTAATTTCTTGGCATATCTAACGTCTCAAAGGACCACTAAGTGAAAAAAATTGTGTGTCAATGTTACCAACTTATCATAACGCACAAAAATAAAAAGGGAGAATGCCATATTCACAAAACGTAACATGAAGTTAGGTAGGAAATATATAAACTACAACACAAGTAATTTTTTAGCCATTATCATGTAATGACCATCGATAAAAAAAATTTAATAATATAAGAAGAGTATAATGAAAGTAGTACTTGATACATTAGTATGATTTTTTACTTTATCTTTTAGTTTTTAAAAATCTTTTAGTTTTTTAAAAAATCAATTAAGAGTGAGATTAATGGAGAATTTAACACAACAAAAGACTTCTGATTTTTTCTCAATTAATTTTGCTAATCTTTTTATTTAAATAATTTAGAATGACACATGTCATTTTCTTATGTGATGATGTGGCACTCATATGGAGAGAGTTGGCCAACTTTTATATATATGATGATTACTAGGTCTCATGACCCTGCGATGTCGCAGGGAAAAATATTTGAAAAATTGTTTAAAAAGTATCAAACGTCATAATGAGTTGTAACAATTTAGAATTTTATTTTAATAATAAATTAATATATATTTTACAAAAAATATGATTAAAAAAAACAATCAGAAGCATTTTTTAAGTATATTAGTATTAGAAAAATATTAATTTGTAACTAAAAAACTATCGTAGGTGCAAAAGGTATCAAATAAACCAAAATTTACAATGATTTGATAAATAAGCCAAAATGTTCATTGGTTCGTCAAATAAACCAAATGTTACTATGTTAAATTAAATAGTAACAACAATTCATTTAAATATATTTTCATAATTAAATATTTTTTTTAAAATATGACGAACTTTAATCGAGAGACCCGGCCGTAGATATCAAATATACCAAAAGTTGCAACGGTGCGTCAAATAACTACATGTTGCAATGGTTCATCAAATATACTAAAGAATACAATGGTTCATAAAATAAAACCGAAAATTGCAATGATTCATTAAATAAACCAAATGTTGCAACAGTTTAATTAAACGGTTACAATCTCATTTAAATACATTAATAATTAAAAATTAAGAATCAAAAATAATAATATATGAAAAGTTACATCGACGGTAGATGATTAAATGTTATAACGATTTAGAAAATAAACTTAAAGTTGCAATTGTCCGTGAAATAAACTAAATGTTGCAATGGTTCAACTAAACGGTTGCAACCGTTTTACGAAGAGTTACGAAAAAAAATGCAACGGTAGTCCGTAGAAAATATATACTCGGATTGCAACTTTCTAAAAAAATATAACGTAAAATATATTTTTGGTTTAAAAAACATATAAACGAAATGTTGCAATATGTCAAGTTCGTCAAATAAACTAAAGATTACAACAGTTCGTAAACAAAACAAAAGTTGCAATGATTCGTCAAATAAACCAAATGTTCCAACGGTTCAATTAAACGGTTACAATCTCATTTAAATACACTTTAGTAATTAAAAATTATAATTTAAAATCATAATTTATGAAAAATTATATCGAGAGACGCGACGGTAGATTAATAAATATTATAGTGATAGTGATTTATAAAATAAATCAAAGGTTGCAATTGTTCGTGAAATAAACTAACTATATAAACCAAATGTTGCAATTATTCGTGAAATAAATTGAATATTGCAATGATTCAAATAAGCGGTTGCAACTGTTTATGAAGAATTACAATAAAAAGACGCAAACGTGGAAGACATTCAGATTGCAATTTTCTAAAAAATCGTAACTATAAAATATATATTTTAGTTTTTTTAAAAAATTACCGAAAAATTACGATTAAAAGACACAAACGTCCACAAGTGCAAAAAGAATTTATTGAGATTGTTATTATTTATAGATTGTTATAAATCCCTAAGCCACTTCATTTCACAAAATGTATCAATAAACCAACACCAATGAAATAAATCTAATTCGATTTGTAACTACAAATACACTAAAACCTCTATAAATTAATAATGTTGGGACCATGATATTTTATTAATTTATAGTGATATTAATTTATCTATAAATTAATTCTTATTAATTTATAGTGTAAATTAATATTTATTAATTTATTGAAAGTTTTGTTTCAATTGTGAAAACTTTTTTTTTAAAAATACGAGCAAAAGCAATGTGGTTTAAATAAAATTAATGTTTTAGATGTTATAAATTATAGTTTTAGCAATAAACACTTAATATTTCGAGGAGAAAATAATTTATTTTGACAATGAATAACAACGATTATAGAATTCACATATACAAACGATATATATAAATTAAAATTCATAATTGTTGTTTAAAAACCTATACGACTATTAAAACAAAAATTATGCATATTCAAAATTTGAAAACTTAAAAAAACTTTTGGCTATTTTTATGAAAACACTAAAACTATTATATATATATATATATATATATATATATATGTAAATTTACATGATTATTAATTTATGATATTATTGGGACTATATTTTTACATAGGGATTTCAAAAAACTTATTATCTTATTATCTTATTATCTTATCGAATTTGGTTAATTTTTACACTGGCCCGACTCGGAACCGGCAAAATTTATTAATTTATCGTGTTTATTAATTTATCGAGTATTAATTTATAGAGGTTCTACTGTATGTCTTTTACCATTGTGGTTTATCGTTGACACCAATGTCTACAAAACAAACATAATCTATATGCAGTGCCGGCCCAATGTTATTTGATGCCTAAAGCAAACCAAAAAATCGTTGCCTCAAAAAAAAAAAAATTATCCTTAAAAAAACAGCATAATTGTTTGAAACTTAATGTTAACATGAGTTCAAATAAAGGAAAAGTCTTAAAACCAAAAACAGAAAATACAGAAGCATCATTGTTTTTAAAAAAAAAATGAAAAAAAAAAAAAATAATTTAATATTAATCAATCTAATATAGTTGTTTAGTAAATATAAAAGAAGACAAAAAAAAGATTTAGCAAAATAGGTTTTAAAAACAAATTAAAATGTTTAGTGAATAATTTAATGTTAATCAATCAAATATAATAATATAAAAGGAAATTGAAGTTAGAAAATTCAAATAATCGGGTAAATTTAAAATAAAAATAAAAAGTAAGAAAAATATTCGGTTTTGGAAGAAAAAAAGGCAATAGGATTCAAACCTTGGTTGAGGAGGTTAAGCAAATGTTGCTCAACCACTAGGCTACTGGACACTTACTACATTAATTTGATGCCCTTAAAAATATATACAATTTTTGCTGCCTAAAGCATTGGCTTGTTGGGCTTTAGCCGTGGGCCGGCCCTGTCTATATGGTTTTGTTCCCGCAGTAAGCTTGCATTCAGGAGTAAGGTGTTAATGTAACCTATATGGTCTCAGTTGTCTTTTTAATTCTCAAAGTAAAATTTGAACCACTTTAGGAGGTAAACACTTTTTTCTTTTTTCTTTTTAGGAGGTAAACATATTAGAGAAGTTATTGTAGTATTAGTAACATACTTATAAGCTTAGGTCATAATGGTCAGAGATTATCACACACGTCACTGCTTACGAAACAAAAACAAGTCTCAAAATAAGACCGTTGACTCGCCAGCCATGTGGCTGTATCTCAAGTGATAAAGACTAAACTGTCCCGCTTGATCCAACAACGCCACCATTATGTATTTATGTCTATAAATGTGGTCCTCGTTTCTTCTTGTTTTAATCAAAAATTTAGAAAAAAAGAGAAATGGAGAATAATCCAAGAAGCTCATCGTCTCTCCCTTTGGCCGGACGTGTAGCTATAGTGACTGGAGCCACCAGAGGCATGGGTCGTGAAATCGCGATTCATCTTCACTCTCTTGGCGCAAGAGTCACCATCAATTATGTCTCGAGCTCATCAAAAGCTGAACTCTTAGTGCAAGAACTAAACGACTCATCTCAACCAAAGTCAGCGATCGCAGTTAGAGCAGATGTGTCTGACCCGGACGAAATCAACAACTTGTTTGATCAAACAGAACAAGAGTTCGGATCTAAAGTTCACATCGTCGTGAATTGTGCAGGTGTTTTGGATCCAAAGTATCCATCTTTATCCGAGACTACACTAGAAGATTTCGACAAAACATTCACAATAAACACAAGAGGGTCTTTCTTGTGTTGCAAGGAAGCAGCTAAAAGGGTTATGAGAGGAGGTGGTGGAAGAATCATTATGATGTCTACATCAATGGTTGGTGGTCTAGCCCCTGGTTATGGAGTTTACGCAGCATCAAAGGCCGCTGTGGAGACAATGGTGAAAGTGTTGGCAAAGGAGCTAAAGGGAAGCCGGATTACGGCGAATTGCGTGGCGCCAGGACCGGTTGCGACAGAGATGTTTTTTGCCGGAAAGAGCGATGAAATGGTGAAGATATGCTTGCAGGGGCTTGTCCTATGGGGAGGATCGGTGAGTCAAAGGATATTACCGAGATTGTTGGGTTTTTGGCCGGTGATGGTGGGGAATGGATCAATGGTCAAGTTATTAGAGCCAATGGAGGCTTTGTTGTCTAGAAAATGAAGAACTAACAATGAAATTTGATGTTGTCTTCTTCTTTTCGTGTGTTGAACTACTTTTATGTCAATGATGATGAGTTGTTAATGGAGTTAATATTTTTTGGTGCATTGGGCAAGACAATACTTAACAAAGAAAATTATAATACTTAATTAAAATAATATACTTTCAATCAAACTTGAAAAATTTGAGTGAAAAAATAAAGAGAACCAACACTCCAAAAGCTAACTTTCTTCTGTTTTGTCTTCTCATAAGATCTTTCAACAATGTAGTCTGAAATTGTTGTGAAATTTGAAGGATTCTCTTACAACATAAATCGTTTATAATTAACAGTTTAACACAAAAAAAAAACATAAATCGTTCAGAGCAAATTCTCCAAAGGAACTTAAATAGGTAAATATAGTTGAGTGAGAATAGAAGGCATCCAATTATATATAGCTTCCATCCAATTTCCTAATGAATGAATCAGTTAATATTTCATTTCTCTGTAACTTTGTCTCTGTACAAAAGTGATTAATGGTTGAATGAGTTTCATGTTCTTTTTTTCAGGTTTAGAAATGGAGTAGGACTCTCTGTTCTTTGTCAAACATAGCATCTTGTCGGTCTTGTTTTGGTATATATGTAACTTTGTTCTCTGTTTTGGTATATATGTAACTAGTTCTTTGTTTTGGTATATATGTAACTTTGAAAGAAATAACTTTTTGCATTGCATCTTGTTTCACATTCTTGTAACAAGTTCTCTGTTTTGGTATATATGTATTGTTACCAAACAGAACCATATATTGAATGATTGTACATCTTGTTTCAAACACTTATTCTTATTTTAACACAAACACTTCTTCTTGTTTTACAAGACAAACACATATTGTTTTACAAAATTTAAAGTATTTATTCTTAAGAAACGCAAATGATATTCTACCATTAGAAGAGAAAAAAGTTAAGAATTCCAAATAAAGTTCTTAACCTATAACAAAACAAAATTTATACTAAAAATTTGTTAAGAACCCAGTTTTATTTTATCCCCAAACGTAAACACATTTTGTGCCTCTTCATTTTCATGGGCCGATTTTGGGCTTTAAACCCATTTTATAAACCCTAGCCTTGTGTTGTGCGTCATATATAAGAAGTAACTTTTTCAGAGCCGAAGCTACTACGGAAGAAGAAGAAGATGGTGTCTGGGTCAGGGATCTGCGCGAAGCGCGTGGTCGTAGACGGGCGACACCACATGCTTGGTCGTCTGGCTTCCACAACTGCAAAGGAGTTGCTCAACGGACAGAAAGTGGTGGTTGTCCGATGTGAAGAGATTTGTCTCTCAGGAGGTTTGGTTCGACAAAAGATGAAGTACATGAGATTCCTTAGGAAACGTATGAACACTAAGCCTTCTCATGGTCCTATTCACTTTCGTGCTCCTTCAAAGATCTTTTGGCGCACTGTTCGCGGGTTCGTTCCCTCGAATTTTCTTTATTTTTTGTGGAGAATTTTGATACTTGAAGATTGAATTTTGGAAATGTATGATTAGTTCAGAGGTTGATCCAATTGAAAAGCTAATAAATTAGGTTAAGAGAGTGCTAATGCGTTTTCTTTGTGTAGTTTTTGATTACTCTGTTATGTTTTCTATGTGTGTATAAGAGAATTGGTAGTTCAATTGTGCAGTTTTGTATTTGTTGTGTGAGTAATAGAAATGTATCATCTATTTAAAGTTTTTGGGATGTAACAGGATTGAATTGTGAATATTTTGATTAGTTCAGAATTTGATCCAATTCTAAGTGCAATTTCGTTTTCTATTACTCTGTTATGTTTTCTGTGTTTATTGGAGAATTGGCAGCTCAATTGTGCAATTGTTTTATGTATATGCTGTGTGAGTAATAAAAATGTAGCATTTATACAAAGCTAATGTTTTTCCCTTTTTGAGCTTTGGGGTGTTGAATTGTGGAGATTTTGCTCTCGAATTATTATGATTAGTTTTAATAATCAGTTTTGGATCTGTTTAAAGTATTTAATCCAAGTAGCCCCATAATAATGTTATGCGAAAGCATTGTCTTTGTGTTGATTCTACGATTCTTATGTTTTTAGAGAATTTGCTTGTCAATTGTGCAATTGTATTGTGTATTTGCATGTATGAGTATGAGAAATATAGCATTTCAGCAACGATGAAGTTTTTCGCTTTTTTGAGTTTTGTAGAATTGAATTTTTTTTTTTGTGGTTGCAGGATGATTCCACACAAGACCAAGCGTGGTGCTGCTGCACTTGCTCGCTTGAAGGTTTTCGAGGGAATCCCACCTCCATATGACAAGATTAAGAGAATGGTTAGTCCTGATGCTCTTAAGTAAGTTCTCTTTTGTTTTTGTGTTCTGTTTTGTTCCTTTGATTTTGTAATAGTTAATGATCAGTTGATTTTGTAATCAGGGTTTTGAGACTTCAGAGTGGTCACAAGTACTGCTTATTGGGACGTCTATCGTCTGAGGTTGGCTGGAACCATTACGATACCATTAAGGTGAGTCTTTCGCATTCAACTCTGAATATCTTGCTTCATTTTTGTTTCTGCTAAACTGATTTCTGTGTACACATTGAGTTATGGATACCAAATCTGTTTAATTGGAGAATTTGTAGAATTAGGTCACTGAAACTGATGTTTGGAGTTTTTGATTGTAACAGGAACTTGAGACAAAGAGAAAGGAAAAATCACAAGTGGTGTATGAGCGTAAGAAGCAACTCAACAAGCTCAGGGCCAAGGCAGAAAAGGTTGCGGAAGAGAAGCTCGGATCACAGCTCGATGTTCTTGCCCCGGTTAAGTATTGAAGAAAATCAGACGTCTATCACCTCAAAGTCTTGAAACCCATTTCGTTGAAGCTAGTCTTGATTTTGATTGTGCATCTGAAATTTGATTTTGTTAGTGTCAGCAAGAATTCTCTCTTTTCCATTTTCATTACTCTATTGCTCTGCAGCTTCTGCTGTATACAATTTATGTTGGTTCTTAATTCAATGAAAACAATTTTATTTCATCTTATGTGTGACACCACTTAAAAGTTAAAACGTCTATTGATATTCACAAATTACACCAAATCTACACAAACACATTGACCAAAACAGAGTTCAACAATCAGAATTAGAAACTTATGGGAGATGTGTGGAAGATGAAGTAGGTGATGATACTGAATCATGATCCTTGACTATCTCCTCCAATTGCTTCATCTCTTTGTGTTCTGCTACATCATCATCCCTCACTTTAGTATTACTGTTATCCTCAATGACATGAACATCATACATAATGGGTTCTCTATCCTCATCGCCTTCTCTCTTCTCGTTGAAACCATCATCTTCGGTCTCTTGATCATCATCAATGTGCTTGTAAGTCTCAAGTTCTTTCTCACGAAAATGCTTCTCTCTCTCTCTTTTAAAAAGAATCTCCTTGAGTATATTCATCTCTTCCTCATCATAAGCAAATTTCTCATCAATCATTCTCTCGTATTGCTTCCCTTCCATCTCAAGCGAAGCTTTATCCGCTTGTAACCTCAGAATCATAGCCATAGCTTCATCAGCTGCTGATGCTGAAGCTGCTCTTTCTTCCTCTAATTCAACCATTAAAGCAGCTCTAGCTACTCTCTCTTCCTCAACTGCTTCTTCCAACAACCTCACTTTATCAATCAATTCCAAATTCTTATCTTTATCAACCAAATTATTCTTCTCTTCTTGATCTTCTTGATCTTCTTGATGATGCAAAATGCTTAGTCTAGTAGTGGTAGCTAGCTTCTGGACTTTGAGTATGATTCTGAATGGCCAATCAAAGAGAAGTTTTTGGATGCAGAGATCACTGTTTTGATATCCAAGAATTCCAGAACAGGGACATGGCAAAAACAGTAGCAACTTCAATGTAATAAAGAAGATAGCCGATACACATAGAAGACAATAAGCAAATGCTAATTCCATAAAAGCAACCAAAATTCCATAAAATGTCAATCTATAACTTTCCGGGTAGTCCATTTCTCTTTCTCTCAACCAATAAGCCTGAATCTGAATATCTTGGAGTCTCAGAATATGATTTCTCAACACACACACTCGATGAAACTAAAGTCACAAATTGCAAAAACCTCAGCCAAAAATCTAGAGATCTGTAAATAGAAACCTAAATCAAGAAAATCAAGAAAAGGGTATTAGCTCTTTTAGACTAGAATGGAGATTACAAGAAAGTAAGTAACTCTTACAGAAATATTTATTCAGCCAAAACACAAAATCACTGTCCAAAACAAGATTTACCCAAAAAAGCAAAAAAAGATTGGGGAAACGAAAGTCACTAAAGAAACCCTAACGAGAAAACTTTATACAAAGCCAAAAATAGATTGCGTAGTTCAGAAGAAAAGTCAAGAACATAAATAGACAAAGAGAAAAAGAGGAAGAGAAGAGGATAGAGATGAAGTTGAGGTCAGAGTATAACACCTGAAAGTCGAAGGAGATAGAAAGAGGAAGAAGCTTAGGACAGAGAATCTTGGTTGTTGTTTTGTTTGTTTTTCAATTAAATCAAATGAAGGAAAAAAAAGAGTCGGTAATAATTTTGTCGCTTAGCTCACAAGTTCTCCAGATAATCAAAATGATGGATCCACGTGACAAAACATTTAAAGTAATAAATATTATTTTGATAGCTGGTATATGGCTTAATAGATTGATATTTTGAGGTTTTCTATATATTAAAAAAAATTATTGTTTAATTATTTAATATTATTTTTCATTTCAAATAATTTTTATTAATTATCAACCAATAGTAATCTAATAAATTTAGTTATCATTGCATTTTAATATTTATGATTTATAATATCAACTAATAAAAAATAAAATAAAAACTAATCAATTTTTGTGAAACAAAGTAAAAATACTAAAACATCAATTTTTTTTTTAAAACAAAGGAAAGATGATTTAAAAAGTTAAGCGTGTTTGAGTTAAAATAATGGGAAATTGTTAAAAATGCACCTTTTGGTGTGCCTCTTTTAAAAAATGCCCCTTTTAGATGTCTATTTTCAAAAATGCCCCTTTTTAAATATGAAAATTTATAAAATTTTATTAGGTTTATAAGGTACTTATGGATGGTAACTATTACTTGAAGACTCGATCCAAGTATTTATAAGATTTTATAAGGTGTTTTTAAAGGTTTTACAAGATATTTTAAAGGTTTTTAAAGGTTTTTCAAAGGTTTTACAAGATATTTTAAAGTATTTACAAGATATTTTAAAGGTTTTTAAAAGTTTTTCAAAGGTTTTACAAGATATTTTAAAGTATTTATAAGATTTTAGATACTTATTTGTGTATGTTTTAATAATGTTACATACATATTTGGGTAAATCTTATATTTTAGGAGCATTTTTTATAAGGTTTTAAAGAAGGGGCATTTTTGAAAAGTGGCATTGAAAAAGGGGCATTTTTGCAAAAGCCCCATAATTTTAAAACGATTGATTTATTAAAAAAGTGATTTATAGTAGTATTGTGTAAGGAAGTTTAAAATATGGGAAAAATCTTAAAGTGATTTTTACAGTTGGTAAACAATTCTTTAGAGTAGCACACTCATACAAAGTGGACATAGAAATCCATGAGTGATAATGATTAGCGTATTAATATTGTGTGGGATATTATGGGATAAGCTTAATATGACCCTTAATATGATATAATGCACATCAATGTGTTGTAAACCCGATAGAATGAACTTGAATAATGAGTGAATCATATTCGAAAGTATATTTTTATAAAGAGTATTTCGAAATTTCTCAAGTCTTGGGTTATACGATTCTTGAGAATAAGATAGTCAAGTTATTTCTTTTTATAAGCTAAAATATAAAAGGAACAAATAGAAATTTTGTGATTTGTTTATTTGTTTTACCAAAGATTCTGTCAAAAAAAGAAAAAAAAAAAGAAAAAAAAAAGATTCTGTCAATTTTTTGGTCTTATGAATATCTTTTCTTAACCCCGCCCCCACTCCCCCCCTTCCCCTCTCTTTTTTTTTTGTATAAAACCAAAATTTTATAAAGGTCAACGATTCTTACGTACGAACTCTCCTATTTAAGTGTAATCTTTTATTCACAAAATCAACAACATATAAGCTAAACTCATTATGATATTTGAATTCTCGAGCATTTGAAATATGGGAATATAACATTAGATGTAAATTCAATCATTATGATATTTCATTAGATGTAAATTCAATCATTATGATATACAAATTTTTTGTTGAAGCGGTTACACTTCATATCCATATAAGTAGATATTTTAATTTGTATCTTCAAAATGTAAATTTTCAAAAGATCTAGTAAAAAGGAAATTTCAACCTAACCTTTTATTTTAGATCATGTACTTATGTTGGGATGATAAAACGTGGGTTTTCCACATTTAATTCAGCCTCTAACTTCGTATTAGATGAGATTGGGTATCCCACCATTAAAGATTTCAAATGGACTTTAAACCCATCCCGTTAGCTAACTTGGTTACCAAATCTTTACATAATCTTTTTATTAAGTGATTCGCAAAATTTGGTTGAAACTTACCAAACTCTATGGTAATAATTAATCCCATAATTAATCAACTCACGTAGCACATGTTATGTCTAACGCCTAGGATCTGTGACTTACCATTATAAACTTGGCTATGAGGCTGAGCAAAAGTTGGTTAACTAAACAAAGTGGATAGAAACTGGTGTCACTGGTTTCAGTCATGACAGAATCTCGTAGACTAAGTTTCTTAGTCATTTCACCTCTTTGCTAGTGGCTACTAATGCTATGAATTCTGACTTTATAGTCAACTTGTAATACAAGTTTGTTTTTAGGGCCCAAGAAATGGCGCATGCCCGACACATAAATACGCAATCACTTTTAGAAAAATGATATTCCACGTTGGTGATCCAACATGCATCTGAAACCTTTCAAAGACTAAATTTGACATATGAAAAACTACAATTTATGGTTCCTTATAAGTACTTGAGCACCGATTTATAGCTTATCAATGATAAGTGCTATGACTACTAGTGTATTTACTCAAATTCCTTCTCCATAAGCCATATCCAGTCTAGTACCCATCATAGCAAACATTGAGCAATCAATTACTTGTGAGTTCTCGAGTTTTGACACTCTTTGTCCTGTGTATTGGGCATAATTTTTGCACTCGCATCCATGCGAGTTCTCACATTAGAATAGTTATCATAATTGAACTTTTAATTACTTTTTCAGTGTATTGTGTTTGTGTTAAAGATAAACCTTTGCTCTCACACGTGATTCGTATTACAAAAACTAGATGATAAATTTTTTATATGTAAGCTTTACTTGTCTAATGTCGGTGCCAAAGATCATCATTTCATCAACATATAAGCATGCATATATATGAGTACTCCATTACAAAACTCATCAAATTTACTATAAAACAATTGTTTGATTTATTTAGCTTGAATCCATTCGCCAAGATATCCATCAAATGTAACTCCTCGACCACCATTCTTAATGGACTCCATGTCCTCTCTCGGCCCGCGGGCCCATCCATGTCCGACGGCTGGTCCGCTATGTCTGGGAGGCTTTAAAGACTTGTTTACTGATCCTACGAATCACCACATGGTTTTTTCCCGTGTTTTGTCATCACTCACACGGTTCCGACAATCACTTCTTGGAAGATCATCCATTCTGAAATTTTTCCAGTTCAAGTATATTTAACTGTGGAGTTCTCTCAAAACGTTTGACCAAAAAGATAAGTGCACTTTAGTGATATAGGTGACCAAATCAATTCTTTTAAACTTCTTACATGCACAACCATATTATTGAAACCGGGATATTACATTAAACCTCTAATGTGATTTTTTAGGTTCTTGCTTTAGCCCATACAATGACTTTATAAACTTTATGCTCATTTGAGGGCATAAAACCCCATTAGGGTTGCTTCATTTAGACATCTTCCTCTAAAATCATTCAAAAATGTTGTCTTGGCATTTATTTGGTGGATCACAAGATTATTAATAGCCGCCAAAAAAAATCAATGATGTTATAAAAGAGGTTCTAGCAACTGAGCAGATGTATCAAATATGGATGATTCAAGTTATGCTTCTACATGAAGTAACATCGACTCATTCAAAGCATTCATTAGCGTTTCTTATGTTGAAGCCCTTATGACACAGTTTTGGGTCTGAAATTTTACGTACCCACGAAACATATTGGTGCGCTGATGCGTGTTTTATTTCGCCTCAAAGTTTTTCCTTAGAAACTACACGAAATACTGCAAGTGCACAGTTAATCAATTATAGTATTTAAGGATCGATCCCACAGAGACTTATAAGTACGGTACGAATTTAATGGAAAGGAATATGTCTAAGACTAACAAAAGAGAGGGGTTTGGTTTTTTGGGTTGTCACGAAACTAAATAGAAAATAAAAGCAATGCAAACGATGAAAGATATCAATAAACGAGAAGTTGGGTTTCAAGGATTTCTCAGGGTATCACGGATCGGGTTATTCTAGGGTTTTAAACAAACGTAAACCTATGCTTATTAAACAGTTTATGAACTACGAAACACTTATGTAAAACCGTTTGGTTTATGACCAAACGACTATCTAAGTTTAACAACTCCGTTACTAAACTAACGCATGCAACGACGAGATTAAACCAGCATGATTAACGAGTTTGATTATAGTTCGTAAAGCCCTATAACTAAGTGGTGTGTGCTTGTTATAACACGATACTCACATCTAGGCTAGTGAACGCGGATCTATACACTATTGATGCATAAAACCACCTAAGATCAACTGCAAGTTAATTACTCAAGCAATATGCATTAAGAACAAACTAAGAACGAAGAACAAGATGACCTAAATATAGATCTAAGAAACCCTAGAAAACAGATCTATGAATCCCGGCCCCTTTGAAAACCCCTTAAACCCAACAAGTAAACTACTCACACACAGGGGCGGACCCACTAAGCAGGTAGGTGGGTCAGTTGACCTGGGTAAAATAATTATATATATGTTTTTATGCATAAGTGTCTATAAAATTCA